CTGGCTTAGTTTATGACACGCTGTGTCTTCACAGTCTGTGTTGGTAATAGTAGGGCAGCCCTGGTAGTCTGTTAGCCCCAAGGAGGGATTCATGCTGCGGATTAAAGTGAAAGACCCAGGATGCTGCCTCCCTTTTTTGGGCTTACCCGAATAGAAAGGTGCCTGAGGGCATCTGGAAACTGTGGTCACAGTCGAGGAAGGTGAAGGAAAAGTTATGGGTGGCTATTGTAAACCTTAATAGAGCACAAATACAGAAGATAAATAAGAGCACATACACACACTTTAAAGATCAAGCAGGAACATGTACATATATATGAAATACACAGGCATATACACCATCTACACAATATAAAATTTAATGACCAGTAATTTTGTGATTTCTATGGATACAGTTTCATTGCCTACACTATATACCCTTCAGATGGGCAAGCCTGTAGTATTAGGGGTCCGTGGCATTCTGTACTGTATATAGTTACCAGTCAATCATCAGCAGATGTTCTGTAATACCAGGCTTTCCAGACCAATAATGACAACAAGCTTAGTCTGTGTGTGTGTGTGTGTGTGTGTGTGTGTGTGTGTGTGTGTGTGTGTGTGTGTGTGTGTGTGTGTGTGTGTGTGTGTGTGTGTGTGTGTGTGTGTGTGTTTCACTGGAGATGGAGAAATGTCTATGCTGTACTCAAATCCTGTGGCGTGGAGCTGCAGCACCTCTGCAAGTATCCTACATCGAGCGTGTCACATTTACACAACACAAAAACACACTAACATACACACACACAAGCATCAGTATCCAAACCACAGAACCTCACTTGGAGAAACCAACTGTCAAATACAGCAAGGAATGTGTTGAGTCAAGCACGGGTCCTCTTTCATGTGGACGACACAAGTGATGCTTTGTTTGAGTGGAAGACTGTAATACAGCCTCCGTCGTTGTTTGACGTTCTTGTGCCTCTCCGGTCTTTTTTCTCCAAATTTTGTACTTCACCTCTCAAGAAAGCAGCATTCACTGAAAACGTTTCAGTGTTCATGCCCCATTCGTACTTCTTACCAGGCTTTTAGTGATTTTGTGTACAATATCTGAACAATACAGTCCGCGAGTTTCAATAAGCAGATGTCTTTTTGCCGGCAGGGCATCAGGGCCTACAAGGTGAGGATCGGCGTGTGAGCTGCTCTGTGGCCTCAGGCTGTTTTCAGTCAGAGCGAGGGCATTGTCACCGCCTGAAGGTAGTGCTATATCAGCACCAGTTTGAAGCAACAGTTTAGATTAGGCAATAATGTTAGATATTATAACCTGCAGCAGCAATAGAGATGAGCAAAATGGCCAGCTGTAGGGATGCTCTGATCAGTTTCTTTAGGCCATCAGAATCAGACTGTCACGATCTTTACAGGATTTTACAGGGAACTTTTGCAAAAGACATCCTGTAAAAAACATAATGTTTTCCTCATTTGTAAGGTTCCACGGTTTTCTTTTTTCACCCCAAAATGATCCCCTCTAGCCCATTTTGAAGATTACTGGCTTTTCTTCAGGCAGAGCTTTCATTACATGTTCTAATACTCTGTTACACCCTCAAAAAAAATTTTCTTTCAAAATTCTTAACTGCCTACTTGACTGAGCAGATTATTTAAAAAAGAAAACACACACAAAATGACATTTTATATCTCATAGTCATGGTTGCAAGCAAAAAGGCAGTATCTCATATGTGCATTCACAAAACTGGATGGAATTCTGTGCAGCCAGAAACGAAATACTAATTTCCTTAAGCTTGATACCAGCAACCGAAACATACTGCCTGTGTGAGGTTGGACAGGAATGTAAAGTCCTTCATGTGGTGGAGATCCTTTAGCCATAATGGATCAGGTAGTAAAAACCCTCACTATCTGTGTGACATTTATGTATTTGCCTTACCCATTTTACAATTGTTATTTCTGATCGGCAACACTAAAGACCGAGTAATGAATATCAGCTGATACCGATCAGCACTACATCAATCTGAGTGTTGCTATTTACTCGTAATGAGTGGTCATTAAAAAACACGGCTGGCTGTACGTTTTTTTTACAAGATTTCTTATTTACTGTACATTGTCTCTGGTCGTTGAGTGTATATCAGCCTATTTAAAAACCATGGGGGCTGATATCATCTGTCTCCTGTCTAGAGCTGGATCAATACCGTCTTCAGCAAGATGGGTGTTTTTCACAGGCACACACACACACACCTAAACATATGCATGCGTTGAGGAGTTCTGTAAACATCATCTCATACATTTGTAACAGATACGTCTGTAGCATCCATTATCTTGCTCTCTCTCTCTCTCTCTCTCTCTCTCTCTCTCTCTCTCTCTCTCTCAGAGGACAAATCAAAAACATATATTTGTGTCAGTCTCTTTCTCATTTCCTGTCCTCTCTGGTCTGTCCGTGGACAGACACACAACGTGACAAATACCCACATACACACACACACACACACACACAGCAAAACCCCCGCTCTCACAGACACTCAGTCTCACAAACACAGAAAATCGAAATCACAAATCGGCTTAACTCTCCCTGACACGTCTGTGAATTAAGCCTTTCCGTTGCTCTCCCTTTCCCATTATAAAGGCATTGTCGGAGGCTGAATCAGTAACAGGTAGCCCACAGCTCCTGCTGCTTCCTTCTCGCTTCTCTCTTTCTCTTTCCTTCTCTCTTCGTCGCCTGCTCTCTTCTTCTTCTTCTTTGTCTTCTCCCGCTTTCTCCCTGTGTGTCCCTCAGCCTTTCTCTGTAATTCTCTCTCCTCCCTCTCCCCGTCCGTCTCTTCTCGCTCTTGTCTTCCTCATGACCTCCATCAGCTCTCTCCTTAATCATCCGTCTTCTGTCCTCACGCAGTCTTTCTCTCTGTCTCCTCGCTTTCCCTTTTCCTTTTTTTGTCCTTCACAGCCCGTGGTGAAACGGAACTAAGTACTGGGTATTCTCATTTTTTGCTACTTTAAACTTCAAATTTTTCAGACAGAAATATTGGACTTTTTACTCCACTACATTTACATGACAGCTATAGACACTGGCTCCTTTGCGTTTTCCACACAAAATGGATTATATCAGTTTATCACAGTCACAGTTTAACATTGGGGTAAAGTCCTTCCTAGCTAGTTTCAAACTAGTGATTTACGAAGGCTGCACCTTTAAAACTTTAGAAATGTCTCAGTTACAGTAGTAAACACTTTAGTGATGAGTAAATCAGTTAGTAGTAAACATCTGTAGTACTGTCCAATCAAAAGCAACCAACATTAACTATGCAAACAGATAGTCAGTGTATCACAAACTGTGAAATTGTTTTAAAAAAAGATTCAAAACTGTTACAAAAAATAGAGTGAGAGCGAAATTTGATTGTGCTACCGTAACCATTTCTTTTTTCATTAATAGCATAACATTTTGGAATTAACATCATTATTTAAGTGTCAGGTCAGATATTTCATATTACCTCTTATATTAGCAAGCTAATGGAAGTTTTGTCTGTTTGTTTGTTTACCTAGCTAACATTTACATCTGGAGTGTAAATTTTAAAAACTTTGAAAAAAGTCAGTGCCCTTTCGGTCTGCAGATATTCCATTGAGGGTTTCATATACCCCGACATACACCAGTAAGATAGGACAATTTTATACAGCATGAGAGGCGAAACCCAGGGCAAAAAACGGGGACATATTCCCCCTGTCCCCAGTGGAAATGACACCATTGAGTTTGGGACCTGTTTTAATTTATCCTGTTTTATTCTCCACTTAGTAAACACGTATTACATTATAAACGAGTTTGAATTCACAAAGAGCTGGTGCAGTTGGAGGAGTACTTCTTTCACAACTGATCTCAGAGTCCTACCCAGTTTCTTTCTTTTTATGCTGAGGTGAAACTCCGGGAAGGATCACATGAAGCTTGCATATCGAGTGGGAGAGGGAGGAGAGAGGGAGTTAGCTGACTGTGTTGTGAATGCAGGGAGTAGACAAGCAGAGCGATTCTGACAGCCTGTGTCTGCACAGTTTGTTCTCCAATAGGCCCACACAGAGTCACCAGTGGGGTGCGCACATGCAAGCGTACACTCGCAAACATACTGTATTGCCACTCATGTACACACGTAGACACTGTCAGTCTCTTTCACACTCGTGCACGAACGCTGTTACACTCATAGTGTTGTAAGCTTACCTACCAACACACATAGACACACTTACAATACAGACATGCACGCACAAAGTGAGAAGAGAGGCGAGCAGAGGAAAGGGGGTTTGGTTTTGAACGCGTTCCTCCCGAGGCTTCAGTGCTGGGGAAATGGAGCTATCATGACAAGGGATGAAAGAGCAACAATGGTTTCATCACTTTCCCTCATGTTCCACTGCACCGTGAAAAAGAAGCTTCTAGCGTTCTCATCCGCCCGTTAGGAAAAACATGCCGCGCATTATACCAAGAGGGGAGTGAGTGAGTGAGAGACAGGGAGGGAGGGAAGGATAGGGAAAGAATCCTCTCTAAGCAATCAATGAACCACACAAACCCATATTGTTGATACATCAGCAGCGGATATTGATGATTTTGATGGACCAAAGACAATAGTGTGTATTGATCTTGAAAATGTCCCTGTGTTTGGTTTTGTTCTGTTTATTGACAATGTCCCTCTTCCCTTCTTCTTCTCTAGCTGTGTTGTCCTTGTGTCACCCCTGCCTAGGCCCCACCCTTCTCTCTTCCTCTCTTTTTAATGCTTTTAGGTTGTTGGCGATCTCTTTCCTTCCTGTCCTCCTTCTCTCTCAACTTCTCAACTTCTCAACTTCCTACCTTTAACCTTCACTTACTGTCCTCACACCCTGTCCTCTTCTTGAAACACCTTTATACAGACCTCCTTTCCTTTACAAAGTCACTTCACTCATTTTCTAATGAGTGAAGCGCCAATATGAATAAAGAATAAAAACAAAATACGCACAATCGTCCTCATTTCTTCTGTTCCTCCTTTCATCTCACCTTCTCCTTGTCTTTTCTCTCGTTCCACCAGGGTGCAGTGATCACGCCAGCCATGGACCACACTATGTCCATGCAGCCTGCCAGCATGATGGGCCCTATCACCCAGCAGATGAACCATCTGTCCCTGGGCACTACAGGAAGTGTGAGTACTCCCTGGACATCCAAACACCTGCCCGTCTAGTTGCCATAATCCAGATGAGAGAGCTCCAAGTTGATTAAAGAATGCTGCTCATCTAGGCCGTCTTGAGTTATTGCTGTGCAATCACAGAAGAAAACCTTTTTTACGTTACATAAACTATTTATTACTGTAGGTGGACACACTACAGAGGGCTGAAAAAAACAACTTTGCCTTCTTATGCATGTTTTCTGGGAAGCACATAATTGAATCTATATTTTTATGTCATTTACAATATTTTCCTAAAACAGGTTTATTCTACCATCAGCAGTTGGTTTCAGTTCAATGTGCTGTTGCTAGTTGCAACCACTACTGACTGAGTTCAATAGCGGTTTAACTGACATTGTTACGTCCGCCGTTTGTCAGATCTGTGACCAAGAAAATATTTATAGGCATCTTTTATCTACTCTTCAAATGTCTTGTCCTATCTGTAGGCACTCTTTTTATTGCAGCTGTTTTGTGATTGTTGATTTGTTAATGTAGTTTTTATGTGATCAGTTTACTGCTAACAATGGTAGCCATTACATTAGCTGTCTGAGGCTGATTTGTTGCTATCAGATCATTCATAGTACCCATTAATTTGCTGTTGGGCTAACTGTTTTAGCGTTACTCTTTTTACTTTTACTTTGTATGTTTACTAGATTTATTACTGTGTTGTACTTCCTATGGGGACGTAATCTTGTTACTCTACCAGTTCATGTTACAATACCTTTGGTCTGAATCTTGGCATCTTTTTGTTGCGGCCCAAGTTTGGTTCCAGCCCGCTGTCGGCCCTTTGCTACATGTCATCCCCTTTCTTCCCCATTTGCTAGATTGATAAAGGTATATAAATGCTGGATGTATCATGTACACCAGTTTCAGTTTTTACTTTCTTGTGTCCCCTTTTCTTAAAACCAGGCATATTCTTTTAGGAGCAATGAAATCTCAACCACTACAAATCCATAAAATGGTGCTTGTTAAATGTATTTGTGACTAGCTGTTTTGCTGTTACTCCTTTTCATCGTGCCAGTCCAGCAAACATCTAAGTCTACATCTGCTCTTACGAGTTGAGACAGAAAATTGAGAGAGAAAAAGGTGTCCATTACGCAGTTGTTATGGGTCATAAGGACCAAGTTGGAGGCCTTTTATCTTTGGGGAACAAAAACAGGTACACATTGAGTAAAAGATGGATTTTACATTTCCTTTCAAGAAAGCCAAACCTTCTTAGGCCGTCGCCACATGTGCTCTGCCATGGAGCGGCCATATCATTTGTTTTACACTGCATGCATTCAGTGCCAGATATTGAGAGAGCATATTTCCTCCCTGATCTTCCACATTAAACAGATTTCCTGTGAAGCTTAACAGTGTGACAGAGCTCTCTATTCTCCACCTTCCTCACTTTCACCCTCTAAATTTGGTTTCTTTCTCACACTTTCTGTCTCCCTCACTCTCTAAATCACACATCAAGCCTATCACTCCATCAGTTTTCTTTATTCCATGCACACACTCGCTCACAATCACCGCCCCCTGAACCAGGAACTCCCCCCTGTTTCAAGATCAAGTCGACTTAGAGGTGTCACACAGCTCTGAAGCCTGACTTCCTGCCCTAACCCTGCTGCCCCGGGGGCAGGCAAGCAGGCAGCTTTGCTCCGGCACTACGTTTGATCTCTGTGTGTGTGTTTGTGTGTGTGTGCGTATGATTGAAACAGTGCTGTATTGTACAGTTACCAATGTGTTTCCAGGTGAGCTGTCAGCGACTGTGACGCCATGTTGGCTCTGTCAGGAATGCCCCCACCCTAATCTGCCCCAGCTGTGCTAACAGCCAGGATTAGAGACAGGCTAATCTATGATGATGGCTTCTGATGTTTGATGGGTTGCATTATAGTAGAAAGTGGGTTAAGGCCCTCTCTCTCCTTTTTTCATTTCTGGTTTACTCTCTCTGCCTCTCCCCTTTCTGCCTGCTTAGCTTTCCTGAGGCAATGTGCTGTGTAGCATAACTCCTCTATGGCTGAGCTGCACACACGGCATGCCACACTTGATCATCTATGGGAATTGAGACGTGTTTCCTATAACTCTTATTCCTACGCCAGATGTGAAAAGCCTTTCATACCGTCTGATTGAGAAAGTCTGGTAAAAGAGGGGTTAGGAACCCAGGTCTGTAACTATCCGTGTAGTAAACTGGACTTGACACCACATACTCTTAGAGCACATTCCCCAAGTGCACACGCATGTGGTGAGGTTGTTTTGATTGCCCCCACTGGTCACGTGATTTATCCTTCGCCACAGAAGAGCACCTGCTATGAGTAACATCTCCAAAGTCAACAACTTATCACGACTGCCTCTGGGCCGCCGAAGGAGAAGCCACACCTCAGAATACTCTTGGCTGTTCTAGGACTCTCTGCGGCTGTTTGTGTATGGCTGTGGCTTTCTTCTTCTCTCCAAGAAAAGAACCAAATGTTCCCGGTCCGCCCAAGCTGTGACACTGGTGTGGTGACCCTAGCTTTCCGAGAACGTCGTGTTATTTTGCAGCGAGGATCAGCATGGAGGGTTAAGCCTGTTAAAAAGGAGTTGCAAAGGAAAACCTCGGCTCGTAATGAGGAAGCATGGATCGGTGCCGTCTGATGGTCACTGCTTTGGAATTTAGCTGCTTCACCAGAAAATGTTCTGTTTTCAACAACTTCTGTAGTCACCGAGCTCAGTTTTGGTGACTGTCTATCTTGAACAACTTGATTACAGAATGCTAAAGAACCTCAGGCGTACTGTTTATGGATGGCGCACATAAACATGCCATCCATTCTCCTCACTGATTTAATTTACCATGTTTGGTGCATATTCCCCTGTTACTGATTTATTTACTGTCTTCGAGCTCTTACCACTTAACAGTACTCTATCTGTCATGCCTTGTGTTTGCCTGTTAGTCGCAGTGCATGTGTGGATGTGTACATGCTCTGTCATTTTAGTATTTGTGTGCATTTCCACACTGCGTTTGTGTGTGAGCGACATAGTGTTTGACATGACAAGAGGTGACCTTCCCTCTGTGTTCTCCATCCTATTCCTGTCATGGCATGTAGAACCCAGGTCTCCGTTGTCATGGTGACAGTGGTGATTGACAGCTTCTCTGTCCCCGGAAGACAGATTTGTGTGAAGCATTTCCCTCTATTATCTGGGCTGTTTCCCTTGGTTTTCTGAGGGGAAGTCTAAGTACAGTATGTTATTCTACATTTCCATAACTGTGCATGGCTATATTTAACCTTTACTCACCCGGGGAAAGTTCACTGAGCATGCACTCGCTTCTCTTTTAGCTTCTCATTCAGACAGTAACAGAAAGATGTTGACACCTGAGTGATTCCCAGTACCACTGAGCAGCTAGGACCTTGCAGGACCTTGACAGTAATTGTTAAGGGAGGAACAATCTTTAATGGGATTTTTCAATTTTACAATGCATTTTGAATGTGTTTAAGGGCTCGTAGCCAAGAAGTAGTGCCAGTTTTAATGTTCTGAATTTGAAGTTTGTGCTCTAAATTAAAGGGTTTTTTTATGTGTTTTTAATCAAAATTGTGCCTTAAATATGACCTTAATTCTCAGTTTGAATTATATATTCTCAATTTGTATGCATATGAAATGCATCAGCTTATAGTAAGCACCAGAGTCTTCAGTGCAGTCAAATCTTTGCCCGAAACTCTGGATCGTGATTATAAAGTATGTTAGTAATTCCATGGTAGAGAGTTTACCGTTTACTGCATAGTTTGAGTCTTTTAAGGCAGGCTTTCTAGAACATCAACGTTACTTAAAGCTGCATCAAATCACAATCACACAAAGAATTATGCAGTTCTCCCTCATCTCTACAGAGCATTTTAGCATCTTTGCTCACTGGTGTTACATCTCACAACTGTACAGTTTGGTTCAGTCTCAACACTCTGATCAGCTTCGTTTCTATTTTCAGCAGTCAGCAGTTTCTGCAATAAATAAATGTATGCTACCTTGCCAGCACCAAATGGCAGAGATAAGGTTTTTTTGCCGAGCTCTTTTCAAATGTAAAATTTCTGTCTATATCCTTGAGGTCTAACAAATGTGTTGAATGCATTTCCTTCTTCATAGGGCATTTGTAAACCAAAATTTTGGACAATTTAAACATGCTGGTTATATCCATGTTTACTTGCAGATAGTCCACTTCTTTCAGGCCTTTTTTTAGCACCGTGCTGCATTTATTTTTTGGTGCATTATTGCCACTTGTAGATCAGTGAAATAATGTAAAACCATAGGCTGGACTGTGTATCGTGTCAGTCACGTATGCATGTGTCTTTCTGTACATTCATGACACAAACACAGGGATCCTTAAAAAACTGGTCACGACTACTAGTACTCCACAGGGTACCCTTAATACTATAGTAAATAGTAAAATAGTATAATTATATACTTTAAAAACGTTCCTGATAAGAATGTGTTTAAAGAAGTGATTAAAAAGTTGACACTGATTTGGCCAGTTGAGGTGCTAACAAAGCCTTGGGGCCAAGATATGGAGGCCTTTTTATGGTGAAGTGGTACAGCACTGTGATTCACAGCCCCTGGTGTGCAGCTCCAATAGTTCCCATCGTATTGGAGCCCCACAGCTAAGATCAATAGTCATCAGAGCCCATCCCCACACTGCTCTGCCATTAATAACCTACACTGAGTAGCTGGATGCTCTTGCCTTGACCAACTGTTATCCTCCACCTTGCAGACGATGTGACAGAACAGCAGGTCAACACCGGCTGGACAGATAGATGTGGAGGCTGAGTGACAGACAGAGAGGTGGATGATTTATTTGAACATTTAAACATGCTAACATGCTGTGCTACATTCCGCTGGTGCCAGAAAAACAGTTTCTGGAGAAATTCTTGTTGATGTGAAAAACTGAAAGCAGAAAGTAAACGGCCCTATCATCCTTGTACCCACCAAACATAAATTGTCTTACATGGTCCAGAGGGCCCAACCACTGTGGTACCAGACTGGTTCTGTCCATTGTATAGATTTTCGAGCTTATATTGCTGCATTGCGGTCTGACTTTATACTGTAGTTCTAGTGGTATGTCATGGAGAGTGATGGTAGAGAAGAGACTTAAGGAGTCTACTCACACCAGCCTCGTTAAGGAACTATTCAGGCCTCCCGTTCATCAAACATACGCACACGCCATCTGTTCCAGACGCAGGCAGGTGTATTGTGTGTGTGTGTGTGTGTGTGTGTGTGTGTGTGTGTGTGTGTGTGTGTGTGTGTGTATATGTGCATAGATATGTGTGACTGTGAGAGTGAAACACCATTTATTGCCAATTAGGGATGCTTTATATTGCCCAAACCTGTCCCCTGACTATGGACAGGAAAGTATTAAAAGAGTTGAAATTGGACAAAAATCATCTTTATCGCCATAGCAACCCAATTCACTGTAGGCAGGCTTGACATTCGTCTGGCTTGCCACAGCAGCAACCTCAACCTGCCACATTAAATAGGTTAACTAATGGTTATGGTTGAGGAAAAAATCTTATCTTATTAAATTTTCTTGTTAAATCTAATTTAAATTCCTTTTGCAGTCCTGCAGAGAAATATAACATTTCAAATGGACAGTCTCCCTTTGACAGGGAGATTTTGATATTGCTAATTATCTCCTGCTTCCCTTCATTTGCTTTCATGCAGCCCTCACAGGTGAGTTGGCTGAATAAGTTAATGGGAAGGAGAGGCGAAGACAAAAAGTCCTGAGGAAAATTGGTATGCATGGTTTCGATTCACCAGGGAGAAGGTCACTTCAACAATCTGATAGGCCCTTTTAGACGATAGCAGGTTGAGAGAGAGGGGGAGAGAGAGAGAGAGAGCGAGTGACAGGAAGGTGAGAGGGAAGAAGGGATGACACAGGGAGGTAATGTGGTAATGTGTCAGGAAGTCTGGATGTGCCACCTTACCCCGTCCTGAGTGTGACAGCACTGGAGGTGTGATAACCTTAAATTCACACGCACAGACCCACACAGTCATACGAACGCACACTAACATCCATCCCAGGGCATCCTCCTGGCCATGTGTAGCGACGGTGGGGGAGTTAATCACCCATGTCCATGGCCTTTAGCTGCTCTCATTAGCGGTGAGCGGTGGAGCCGTACCCGATCCATTAGCAACGCTGCCGGTAATGACACTTCACCAGCACCGCCGGGCCCATGGCCAAGAAAGGCTCCGCAGCCCGGCACAGCCCCTCCATTACTGCCTCCTACTGCATGCTGCCGCCACGCTTTTTAGCACTGGCAGGGGGACTGAGAAGCGAATGAAAAAATAAGACAGAAAGAAAGGGATTGTACTTCCCTTTTTTCCTTGGTCCGGAAAAGCAGCAGGAAGACGAGGAGAGGCGGAGAGGCAGCCTGGTGGCTTTTATCTGGGATCACATCCGTTGGCGCTGTACTGCAGCATTATCGTTCCAAGCCTCTTTGTCTTTGTCTGTCTCTCACAGGCACACACAGAGACGCGCACACACATAGATATGCATGTATGTTCCCAACTCACAGCTGCACACAGGAGAACACATACAATACATCCACATGCACAGTTGGACAGACAAATAGTAATAAGTCATCATTTTATGCAAAGGCATGCACTTATTACAAAGAAGCACACACACATACTGGTAAATCAGGCTCACACTGGCACATGCGTTCACCACACACACACACACACACACACACACGCACACACACTCACAACATGCATTCACAGCATGTCCCAAGGAAAGCCTCACACAAAGTGCCCTGTCCTCATTCATATTGCATGTGAAAGCCCCATGGCTGTCATGTAACCGAACTTGTGTCACGTCTGTAAAACGGCCATCATGGAGTGAGCTAGCACCCAGTTAAAAGCCAGAGCAGGCGTGACTAAAGGAATATAGGCCACAGGCAACAGACCTCCTGCTTCCTCTTCCTCTCTCTCTCTCTCTCCCTTCATTCCTTGCTGCTTTCTTTTTTTATTCTTTATCTTCTCCTCAGCTGTGACCCGATGCATTTGCCTGCCTGTGAAGTTTTGGTGGAACAGCAGGACATCTCTTCCTCCTCCTACTCCGCTGTCTACTTCGCAGACATCTCTCCTGCCCCGCTCTGTGCACACATATTCTTTTAGCGCCCTCCAAAGGATGCTGAGGGCACAGCAAGCTCCCAATGATTTTTGGGGATAATTGCAGTGAATAATAATTGTGATATCAGTGTAGTCTTTCTTGTTCTATTTTGGACTGGGTTTGGTATATTATGTCACAATATCTGTGTATTGTGAGTAATTTTTGCATGCATGGATTTTGATATGCGTCTATGTATCTTGTGTTTCAGTACATGACTGCTGCAGCTGCCGCGGCGCCTATGCAAGGGACCTACATTCCCCAGTACACTCCTGTGCCTCCAACAGCCGTCCCTGTCGAAGTAAGACCCACAAACAAGCACACGTTACTTACCAATAAAACTAATTGGTGTTTACCCAAAGAAGGACATCATTACTCCTGACAGCCCACTCACTTACACCCACAACCGCTCACTTTGCCATTTCTAGACCTGCTCATCAGATCTACAGATCAAAACAGTCATTAAATAGACAGATTACATTTGAAACACACTGTAAATTGCTCTTATTCTCTCTAACCGAATGGCCTCACACCACCAGCAAATAACGAGGATGAAAACTGCAAGCGAAGCAGGATGAGTCAGAAGTTTTAGAATATTTGGGAAAGACATTTGAAGTGCAGCACAGGCTTTGTCACTTCTTCGGCGGCTGTCTGAGCTCCTGGCAGGTTCGGGCAGTCCAGCCTGAGAAATGATGAACGCGGAAGGCAGGCGGGTGGGCCAGCGAGGAGAGCGGGCCGGCTGTCTGGCGGCTGACAGTGCAGTCGTATTCAGATGGACTATCAGTCGTGTATCAGATGACAGGAGCTGAAGTGAGACACAGTGCCGGTGGTGCTGTCTCTCTCTCTCCCTCCACAGCCGGTCCGGGCTGGTAGGTAGCTGGAACACACACATCCGTCAGCCACGGAGGTCTGGTTAGCCCACCAGCCACGGACAATGACAGTTTCCCCTGACAGACCCATTAGTCGCTCCTCCCCCGCTCTTACATTCCCTCTTCCAAGCTCCCCCTCCACAGAAAGTTCCTTATGAAGGAGTGAGACAGAGGAGAGAGATGTAGTTGTAGTGTAGCCCCTGGCGCCTCTTACCTATTTCATCCTGACCGTCGTCCTCTCAATGCCAGCGTCAGTGGCGGGGTGTATATCACTGTATCAGCCAGTGTCTGGAGGGCTGATGTATGGACAGGACGCAGTATCCTTGAGAGCTTGTTAAAGGTGATTGAGATGACTCACTGATGGGGGCTATCGGTAATGCTTGACACATAAAAAGGCTAAGAGTTTGTTGTGATGAATTCAGTGCTCGTGGCTATCTTTAAACATAGATTGAAAAATCTGCAAGCAATTTAGCACATTTTGTACCAAAGATTATTTTTATTATTCATACCCCTTTGACTCCTACAGTATACACTAATCCCTATGCAAAGTCAAATCTCAGTACGGTGATGTTACTTCTTAGTAATAGTTTATTTAACCACTTATTACTTACCACCAACATGAGTTTTCCACTTTAATAGCTTAATTGTTATATAAAAGACACATTCTGGATATTTTTCTTCTTTACTGAAGCTGTATCTTGAACTGTAACTGTAACTTGAGTGAAATTCAAAACAGCAATTTTTGTACAGCTGCACCTTTCATTCTTCACCATGGTTTTATATGCATTTCTGACACACAGCATATTGGCAGAGTGATGGACCTGTCAGTCTGAGAAGTTAATAATCACAACGACAGAAGTTGTAGAAGTTTAATTTTACTCGGTTTGGTCATATACATTTCAGCAGGAAGCGCTAAAGTTGTTGTTAAAGTTCGGAGCTGACACATTTCCTCCCATGCGTGTCCTCAGGGAGTGGTGACGGACGCCTCCCCCCAGACAGTGGCTCCCTCGTCACAGGAGGTGGCTGGCCAGCAGCAACAGATCCAGGTGGACAGTGCTGGTGACCATGTTTCTGCTTACTCATACCAGTCCAAGTAAGTCAAACAGTGAAGCAGGACTGTTGCTGTCAACCAAATTATTATATTAAGATAAGACAAGCTAAATTATTTGGTGAACTAAAATATATTTTTTAGATGTTTTGTACTTTTGTACAAAGCAGTCACTACATTATGAATCATTTTAGTTAAAGGAAAGAAGAAACTTCTTGCAGCCCCTGTGGACAAGAGCGGTGGTGTTTCCTCTACCTCGTTTTATTGATTTCAAGGGGAATCTGACCATATCCGACCCAGTGGCAGACATTAGGAAAAAATATATAAAAATATCCAATTTTCTCGCTAGCAGCCTTGTTTGCTTATGTTTGTCATATTGAGGCAACAGTAGTTAAACTGTTTAATGACCAGTTAAAAAAACTTGTAGTAGGTTTAAGCAGCACAGTACTAAATACTTATCTGGAAATTAAATAAAATGAGAGTACTAAGAGATGTAGTAGTGCCACTATAAAATGAGTCAAATTGTTCTTGGCTGCTGCTGTCATTTGCTTGTCATTTTGGCAGCACTTTTCGCTTTTCTGACCTGATCAGAACTGTTTAACATGCTTCATTTTGCTCCAGTCTTTTGACTGGGCTGTCAGCTGTCAGCTCTATTTCTTTTGTGTTTGTAATATTGTGCTTTGATTACAACTGCAAACACCCCCTCTCTCTCTCTGTTTTTTCCTCTTTCATCAGATAGCAACGGCCTGAGCGAATGTTCCCGTGACAGCGTTGCCTTGAGACAGAAGGTGGCTGCACTGTGAATGTGAGGAAAAGAGAAAAGAAAGAGATTGCTTCCCGATTGCCCAGGCACCAAAAAAGAGACACTTTTTTCATTTCCTACCTGGCCTACGAGAAAAAAAAATGCAAGAAGGAGGTAAAGAGTGCTGAGGAAGGGGATGGGGAAATTGCTGGGCACAGTGCAAAGAAGTGAAATTGTTTAGTCTGGGAACCTGCCTGAAGGGCTGGGCTGAAGCTTGAAAAGTTTCTAAAAGAAAAGTCTCAACCAATTTAAAAAAAAGAAGAAAAAACAAAATAAAAAAAATGACAAAAAAAAGGTTGAATGCGCAGGTAGGTGATGAAGTTTATTTTGTAATTAGAAAATGGGAGTCAAGTTTGAGATACACACAGAGATTGTCTTCCTCAGATATTAAGCTACAATTTCTTTTCACTCTTTTTTATGTTCTAGTGTTAAATTTTAGTTTTCTAGATATATTCGAAAACAAAGTGTTTTTTCTTTCTTGAATCTTCATGGCCTTAATTTGAAGGGCGCCAGAAACTTTTTACAGAGTTAAAGTCTGACGTCTGGTTAGGAAAAAAAAAAAAAAGCAAACAAAATCAGTCTCTTGGACCACTTGGAGGGTACAAGATACTGGATGAGTTGTTCTAAAGAGGAAAAAAGAATCTATCACATAAGCTGTACAGATTTAATAGAGAAGAGCTTTTTTTCGTTTCTTCATTAGAAGAAAACTTTGATAATTATTATGTCAGAGGTAACTAAGTGTCAGAAGAAAACAAAATGTCTGTTGGGGAAAAAGACTTGGGGGAGGGTAGTGTGTGGGGGGGAGCTTTAAAGAGATTTTTCACAATGAGGAAAAAATGAAAACATAAGAAAACATGCTGCATTGTGGATGCAGTCTGTTGCAAATGCTGAACTTGTTTTTTATTATCATAATTATTATTTTACATGGCAAAGTTGCTGTCAATGACATTAGTGCTTTTTATCTGCCACATTTTACCTTTTTTATGAGCTTTAAGATGTTTTTAGCCCGCTTTGCTTGTCACACTGCAAAAACGAAAAAAAAGAAAAAAGAACAAGAAAAAAAAAATTATAAAATGAACAAAAAAAAAACTACAGAAAGAATTCTGGCAGTGAAATAAAAATTCAGTAGATTCAGTAGGAGCTTACGGTTTAAACCAATCAGTGCAAAAGCAATAGAAGAAATTGTTGACAATTTCTGTAGTCTTTCCTAGTTGTGGATCAAATGCAGCCCATGGATGGCCATTTTTATACCAAAGATGAAGAGACACTCTGAACCAGAGTTTTTTTGTTTTGTTTTGTTTTGTTTTCCTTTTCATTTTTCAGTTTGATTTTGTTGTTGTTGATGTTGTTGTTGTTGATGATGTTAATGTTGATATTGTTGTTGTTGTTGTTGCTGTTGTCGGTGTTTTTTATTTGACCTTGATGGCCGGACCAGTCCTTACTATCCTTCTCGACATCTTCTTTTCACTGAGTTTAAGCTAGTTTTCCACGGTTGTCCAAGCTGTTACACACACACACACACACACACACACACATACACACTTATGTACACATATCCAAACATGCACACACTTACTGTACAAACTCAGACATATACATCAGACAGTATTTAAAGTGTGATGCAACCAGTGGCAGTCCTACCAAAAGTCCTTTCTCTTCTTCTCTTCTTGTCTTTTCATTTCTTTATATGTCTCATCACTTTCACGACGCTTTCACACACCCTGGGTGCATTCCACCTCTCTCACTCTCTCTCTCTCAGATCCTGCAGGGAAAACTTTAGGAAACAGATTGTGGAATGTTGCTTGCTACACTCCGACACATTGCTTCAAGCTTCGTCCTCTTAGTAATGTCTGTCCTCAATCTCTTTATCTCTTTAATTCAGCCATAACTAACTCAATCATTTCTCAGCATACTGAGCGTCAGTGTTGAACTGGGAATCTCCCTGCTGCTGTTTGACCTCATGTTACTCTCTGTAGTGAAGATATCGCTAAACCTAGGGCACTTTTTTTGAGTATTTACCTGCCTGATGAGTGGCGGTTGCTGCATAAAACAGAATTACAAATCGGACTTTAAAGCAGTGATTGCATGAACTTTATGGCACTTCAAGGTACTGACTTAACCTATTTTGCATCCAATGCATTTTAAAACAACTAGTAATGACATGCTTAAAAGAATAGTTCAACATTTTTCAGAGATAAGCTTATTTGCTTTCTTCCTGAGATGAGAAGATCGATTTCACTCTCTTGTCTTTAGGGATACATATAAAGCTACTGCCAGCAGCTGGTTAGCTTAGCTTAGCACAAAGGCTGGAAACAGAGGGAAACAGCTAGCCCGGCTCTGTCCGAAGGTAACAAAATCCGTCTACCAGCACCTCTAAAGCTGACTAATTAACAAATTAAAGTTATGTCTCATTTAGTTAATATGTACAAAAAACATGTAAGGGTCAAAATGACACTTGGTGGTGTCACAGGGGGTTATGTGCCAGACCATTTCTTGGACAGACTTAGTAATGTACTGCAGTCTTGTCATCACTGTGAGGTTGACAGGAAACCAGCAGAAAATGAAAGAAATCACTGTGAAGAAATGTCACACAATTCCTTTAAAACACATCCGAAGGGAAGCTAAATTGACTCTTTTACTCACTGAGAGGATATCTGTAACCCAGGGAACACTTGCTTTGTAAGACCTGTTTGCATTGTAAGACTACCATCATTTTGTGACACTAACAAGGCATGGACGACGTGTGTTTAAAAGCTAGAAGAGGACTGTCTGTCTTGAACATCCCCCTGATCATTTGCCACAAGCAGGGGAGGTCAGCACACCTGTGGGAACTAACTAGGCTCCTCACCAGCCGTAACAAGATGTTGATGGCATCTCCTTCCTCGACCCTTCCTCTGAGTGTCAGTTACACCCCTGGTTGTCTCAATTTGTTGCACAAACAACCCCGTCTCATCTTATCCTGTCTTTCCATCCCAAAGCTGTGTGAGGTTTTCAATGACTTCATCTCTGAGGATTGTCCCCTGAAGAAATTGCCTGTGGGACGGCGGCCATTTCTGCCCCCATTACAGCAGCCTGTGTGTGTCGAGAGCGCTATGTGGGTCTGTTCTGTTCGTCCATGTCCGCCGGTACTGCCCCACTGTGGTGCTACCACGCTAAAAAGACCCCATTTTTTCCCTGCATCACTGGCACCATTAATGTGCCATGGCCAAGCCAGGCTCCTTTTGCTCTCATTTTCCTTCATTCTTCCTCCTCTCTCGCGCTCTCTCTGAGGCTTCTTCTCTTTATTGGATGGTGCAGAAGCAGAACCACAAACCAATTTCAGTCACTCTCGCAATGAGGCTTGACGGGCCCAATTTGTCTCCCTCCGGGGCAATAGGATCCACTCCAGTGTCCCTCAAAAGACCCTTTTCTTCCAGACAGAGAGGGAGCTTTTTTTTTTGGTGACAATTGCAATTGAGCTCTTGCAGTTCATGTGACTCATTCAAATTGAAGTCCAACGCTGCATTTTGGGACATGATGGCATGTTGTGCACATTACAGGCAAGCTATGTCATCGTGCCTGGCAATGTTTGTAACTAACAATCAAATTGTACATCGAGTGCCTTTAAACGAAGCTTCCAAATGATTCCAAATTATCTGTGTGATAGTTTAAAAAAGCAAAGCACATGGAAGAGCTTGTTTGATTCAGTTGTTGCTAAAGAAATGCTACACAATATCGAAGCCACTCTATGGTGCTAAGGAGGAAGCGGTCTCGGGCTCGTGCCTTCATTGTGTTCACTTATCTCTGTGACGACCTGGCCACTGTTGATCATTTGGCCATAAACTCACTCTTAACAAGCCACCTGTCCACACAGGTTTCTGAAGTGAACTACAGTGTCAAAGCCATATGTACATTATATTTTCCTCAGTCACAATGTTGATTATTTTCTTCCATCCACCAATGGAGGTTATTCAAACTGTCTCTCAATGACCGTTGAGCTGTTTATTGTCCAATCAAATCAACACCTGCCCTTTTCTTTTCATCTGATCTGACACTCAACATCTGCCTTTACTTGTCTCGAGGCAACAATTTGCTCTTATCTCCCAGTGAAGAAGTCCCTGCCATATAACCATCTTTAATAGCAAACAACTGACAAATGTTGGGTTTTAGAGCTGCCTGGACTCGCCCACATTGCTCATCTGTTCATCATTAACTCTTTCTGTTACATTTCTGAGTCATTTTAAGTGTCCTAATTAAACAACGGAGCTGCTAAACTATAACTTTACCAGTTTTAAGCTAGTATGTGTGTGCCTGTGTGCTTGTTTGAAGAGTTGTTCTGCTCAACAGTACAGCTTTTAGCAAGGTTATGAATACAGCATAGCTATAACCAAGTTCTCTCGACTTTTAGAGCTGCTGTTTTAAAGAGTATAGAAGACATTTTTTAAACGTAATAGGACTCATAATGCAGGAGTTGCACATCGGAGAGCAGAGCGTCCTACAAATGGCCTGAGATTCAATAGTAATGGCATTATGGGAAATAGGATTACAAATAGCCAAGAGATTATGGAAAAACTGCACAACAAAGAATATCAGATCTATTTTGCTAATGAAGATTCAAGAAAGAAACATATTAAGGCAGGTGTTTGCTTTTGGCGTACAGTACCAATATTTCACAGATCTAAAAGATTACCCGACTGAACAAACAGAAATGGCTTTTTCTTAATAGCACAATGGTATAATGTACCTTTTCACAATACCAATACCTTTGTGGAAGTGTACAGAAGGCATGCTTGCAATTTTAAGGAGGCTGTAGCAGAAACGCTCTGCTCCCAGTCAGCCCATGTGTCAGCACAAACCAGGAGCCAGCTATACCAAGAGAGAAAGTGTATGTGTGTAGGAAAGTAAAAGAGGGGGATCATTAGCTCCTGTTGCCGGGCAGAAGTGGTCATAGCCTGGAGTTTCTTCATCTTCATGCTGCAGTATGTCCCCTGCACTGAACTCCAGGAGGTGAATCAGCTTGACCCATCACTAATTAGCCACACACACTCTTCCTTTCCTTCACCATCACACTAAGATCACACTCTCCTTTATACACTCAATATACCCGCTCATCATTTTCGATCTCTTCCATTCTTCAGTTTTGTATTTGACATTTACCATACACTAGCCTTCCATTTGTTTGCAGCAGTCGCTCTGCCTTCCTCCCCCGTTCAAGTCAACATCAGCATCTTTCTCAGCTTTTGGAAAACGTCAGAAGTCAAAGACTCACATTCTGCTGCTTTGTCAACATCTTGGGATCTCTCCTATTCTTAGAGAGGATTGGCCAGAGATCCAGAGGCTTCTTTCACTGAATTTGCAATGTGCAAGCCGCAATTTGCAACATGACATCATGTCCTCTTGTGTAAATCTTGACACATTTCACTCATCAAAACAAACAGCCGTACTTGTGACCCATGCATAATAAGTATGAAACTTGTCCAAGCACTGCTCGCAATACCTTTTGTGAAACGGGTTCAAGGATTATAGGCTAAGTTGCCACCAAGGAAGTTGGAGGTGTAACTCATTGGCATGTCATTCATATTGCTGAATAAAGGTCAGGATGATATTGTTTGCTGCTATAGTGCCAAAAGCTTATGCAATCATATATTAAAGACTTAAGGTTTTTTTTGTGAGATCTGATATCTGAAGTAATATATAAATTACCACAATGCAGTAAATCTTACTCATCTGGTGCCCCAAGGTAATCTAATCAGAGGCACAGAATTGTTTTCCAACTACTGTTTGACACAGGCAGTCGGACTTATACTATACATTTGGAGCAAATGAGGGGAAATAAAAAATGTAATTCCCCATCAGTTCTCTTTGGATAACACACACTCTCTACAAGGTAAATCTGATCTTCTGTGAGCTTACTTTCTCTGATAAACACAGATCTTGAGACTTTATCTACATCCTGGATTTCTCCTGTCTCAGTATTTCAAGGCGAGGTGCTTACTTAACTGCCTTCTTTTAGAAAGAATTCTCAATCCGTCCCTAACTCACTGTTTCTCACAATCACTGCCGCCATCCCTAAATCTGACATGTTCCAGAAAGTCATTCATGCAATATGGCTTCCCCCGCTGTCGCAGGAGTAAACTCATTAGATGTATTACATGTCATACTCACTTGTCGTGAGGCTCTTGCGGATTCATTCTCGTGAAGGGAGTTGTAGCCATTCCACATTGATTCTCGTGTGTTAGGAAAACAGTTACTCAGTTTGGAGTTACTCTCACAGCCCGTCCCCCACAGAGTGTAAAGTAGAACCGTGGCTCAATAACTCATCACAGACTAGCACATACACACTCACACACACTCTCCACACACATAATGCAGTGGGAAAATTGCTCAAACTACCCCCCGAGAGAGCAGGGGCCCTGTGCTTTTTAATTGATGCTTCGGTCCACCTTTGATGAGAGCTATCGATTGGCCACACAACCCCAGGAGCGCAGCCAGCCAGCACCCCCCCTTCCTCGCGGAGTTCAAACAGCTCCCTGAGATATACAAAATCCAACAATCACGAGGAAATGGCCGACCAAATTGTTTAGAGATAGCAAGCACAGAAGGTGCGTTAGGCATGGGATTCATTTACCAGATATAAAGAGGAACTATTTATTAGGACAGCAGAGCGGTTTTTAATTTGTTTTTTGTTAGTTTTCTCTTTTTGTTTGTTTTGGTTTGTTTTTCACTTTTCTTTGTTTCAGCGCCGAGGAGGACATGGTCACGCCTCGCACACGCTGCTCAGTGTGTGTGATCTTTGAGAAACTATCTGTACATCTGTGGATGTTAGGATTTGACTTGGGTTTTATGAGTTGTTTTTTTTCTCTCTGATGAAGCTTTCAATAAAAAAAAATGTGTAAAAAAGCACCAAGTAGCGCTGTTTTCTTCTAATCTGCATCGCAAATGATTGTGTTTCATCACAGCTAGCTGTTTTCCTCAAGCCATTATTAAGGAAAAATGTATTATGCACCAAGCCTCCTCTGAGGAACACACACGCACACAAAGAACACACCATCTTCCCCATAGCCTATTATCTATATGACTAAATTGCAGTGGGAAGCAAGAGGAAGCCCTGTTATTATCATCCAGCCTAATGGCACCTGCTGCGCCTTGACCTTGGTCCCTCACATCCTCTCATAATTACAGCCTTTGCAAATGGAGCTAATACCTCTCAATGGGATTTCCCCCATCACAGCTCTCACACACTTGATTGGGCGTAAAGTGGTCATAATCAAAGATGGAGGATCCTGCTGGAGGAAGAAGTGGATCGATGGCAATCAATCTTCCTCTTCACTCTCATTTAGGCCCAATCAATTGCTGTCCTTGTCACCTCCTAGGGACGCCTGTTCTGTCAATACCACGGCTGCACAGTAGCCAAGTTTCCATTGCCTGAGACGTCTCTGCAAGATCAAGGCAACAAGGCCAGCACTCCAAGACAAAGGACATCTTAATAGACAACAATTGACTGCTTGTGTGTGCATGTGCACTCAAATGTGCAAGAGGAGCCGTCAGGAGTCACCACTTCCTTTTTTTTTTTTTTTTTTTGCATAAGCTACAAAAGGTACCTCAGTGCTTGAAAAAGATAACTGCCAGTGTGGTACATTTACAGCAATTTAAAATATTTTACTGCTCTGAGAGACTTCTCTGGTGCCATGGTTTCCTCCACTACACACTCTATGGCTGTTAAATCTGGGAAAATACCTTTATTGAGTGAAATGCCACAGATTCAATCTCACTCCCTTGGAGCCAGGCTGCCTCCTTATCTGGACTTATAGAGATGTAGCAGCTGAGCACCACAAGGGTGCAGCATACCAACACAGATGTTATCTGGTGTGTTTATTTCACAGAGGAGTGAGAACCCCTCCCTCACACACACACACACACACACACACACACACACACACACACACACACCACAACCACTGGATACAGATCAAGGACATCTCTACTGGGTGAAACACGACAGCACAACCAGCCTTCCCATCAAGCATTTGCCATCTGCTGAATATCTGCGAAGATTAGGAAGAAAAATCCTAGACATGCATTAAAATATAGCTGTCCTGCTTCCAGTACAAATTGTCTGATTGATGTTCATTTATATAGGATAAGGATTCTCTTTGAGGAGTCCCTGGATTCTGCAAGGGAGCTGATGGCAAATCTGGCAGCTTCACTGTGACACTGAAATATATGGAAACAGATGAATCCCATGTGCATATACAGGTGCACACCTAAAAGAGGGAGTGGATTTGGAGTTTGCTTTTACAGGACAATAAATACTAAAATGACAGCACGACACAATTTGGATGTCAGGTTTTTGTCACAGCTAGAGGAAAATGCTGAAAAGCTGACACACATTTTGGTTCATTAGCTTTTTTCATGTTTGTCTTCATCAGGGTGTCATCACTGCAACCACTCTATGGATTGTCCTGATGTAATAAACATGACCCACATGGACCAAAACAAGCACCAACATGTAACCATTACTGTGATTTTGAAGGATATCTATTTGCTTACAACAAATGATCCACACTGACCTGTGGGTTCCAGTTAGTTGAACACAATTGATTTTATTCCAGGCCAATCTACACAGAGAATTCAGTGAAATTGGGTTGATTGGGTCTGGGACCTATGACGACCCTGAGCTTCCAGGTGCAGTCCGAGCAGTTTTGCATCCAATCAAGAATCTGTGATCGTCAGCAACCACAAACACACCTGGTGCTCCCTTATTAGCTTATACTCCAATAAGAGAGACATAATTAACCAAAGGGGGGGATCTGCGCTGCTGAGCTAAAGTCTAAATAATGCCCAAGAGGGGTTTGGTGTGTTTTGAGGGGCAATTCATTATGCGCTTAATCTAGGAATATGTGAATGCTACATTAGGCCAGTAAACCTCATTACAAGAAGCTAAATGTGGATATCTCATTAGTGGGGAAATTCATGATTCATATTTATACACCATCTATGTCTATTAGATTCAAGGAGAAACATTGTCTAAGTTACATGTCTGTAATGTTGGAACAAAGCTGAAATTGTTTAAGTACAACTCCTTTTTATTACAACAGGGATCTTATTTTGGTCATTTTGGCCATCATTCATTCATTCATCATCAGTAATAACAGGATTGTATTCACTCATTTAATTGCTGGGATGTGGGATTGTGGCGACATCACTGATAAATAGTCATATAGAGCAAGAAACACAAGCAGTCAGATGATCATTCAGGGTTCAAACAAACCTCCAGGACAACCAAACAGAGGAGAAAACGAAGGTGAACAGTAAAGTTTTGCCCAACTGTCTGTTGTGACGTCCATGACAGTTTATAGATCAACTTCCAGGTTCAACTTTGACCTAACATACAGAGTAGCTCTCATAGCTGAGAGAAATGACACAAATAAGTGAAATAAACTGGAGTTATCCTTTAGATAATTTGGGGCTGAAGTTCAAAGCTGCACTGATCATCCTCTTTATATGAACAGCTGATCAAATTACTACAATATGTGTAATGTGGACACTGTCTTCATAAGGAAAACCACAGAACTAGTGCTCCAAAATAATCTGTGCATGCATGCAAGTAAAGAAATTGACGCAAGAAAGGAAGTCGTGTTTGGAGGAAGTTGGGTAGGTGGATGGGTTAACCAAACATCTGACTTTGACATGTGAGATTGCTTCTTTGTTCCTTGGTTCACACCAATAATCAACACACGTTCTGCCCCCAAGTGGCCAAATAAACAGCTAAATGCAGCTTTAAATCTGTCCAGTCATTGTTCCACCTGCATAAAGAGCTTGATCAAATGTAGCCCTTTACCACCTATTGATAAACAAAGCATGAACATCTTTGCCAGATGTGCTCCTCAAGCTGACAGGAGAACAAATGAAAAACACGGATGTCTTGCCCTACATCTACAATAGAATCCCTGTGGCAACACACTCAGTCAGACAGCAGCTCCATTTCAATATTCCCATGATGAATTACTATCATTGTGTTGCAGGAATTAGGGAGCACAGCCAAAGCCTATTGAAGTTTACAATGACATTAGTGGAACAATTGTATCCCAGGAGATCCTGGGGGCTGCACAGAAGGCATTGTTCCCCAGGTGGCACAGCAGTGGGTCTGCGCCAAGGGCCCAGCTCTTTTCTCAATATGCTGATGACAATAGGTGTTAATTGAGGATGTGAAGATAGCCAGTTCCTCATGACTTTTACATTAATGCAACACTTCCTGTCATTAACCCTTATGTAACCAATCAGTCGGATTTAAAAACACGTTGTTTTTAATTTGAGCAGCCCGGTGAAGTTCTCTCACATGGAGGATAAGATACATCCACATGTCACATCATCCCCAGTGGTTCCTATAATAGAAGAAGAAAAAGAGTTGCTTAGATGAAGGAATTAGCCCTAACATGCATGCCTTTGATGGTGGGAGGAAACTGGAGCACCCGGCGGAGACCCATGCAAACACGGGGATGATGTGTAAAGTCCACCAGTGAGCAGGGTAGGATCTAGAGAAATACTGATGGTGTGGCAAGAGGGTGGCATGGAATATCAATATTTGCTTGGAGAAGCCCCCAAAGGTAGCTATTCGAACTTTAAAAACATCACATTATTAATAGTAACATAAACATGGCATTATAAATCAATATTAACAATCAAAACCATATCGGCAGTCAAACTGTTTTAATTCCAAATCTTTAGACATTTTTCCAACATTTTCTTTTTTCATTGACCTTGAGCCTACCACTCTTAAATGTTCCGCTTTTTAATTATTATTAAAAATGAATCTAAATTAATGTGTTAAATTTGATAGTATTTGACACCAAACTTGGGTGGCCAGCATTTTTTAGGGGGGGGCACCTGCCACCCATGCTACTCCTCCAGCCTTTTTCTTACTGTACTCACTACATTTATTTTACACTTGCTTTGGCAATGTTAACGTCTGTTTCCCATGCCAATTAAGCCCTTTTGAATTGAATTAAATGGAAAATTGGGAGAGAGCGGTTAGACACACTTATACAGGTACGCACAGGTGATTGAATTAGCGAGGCACAGGTGATAGGATTAGTGAGTGAAGCCCGGTCTTGTTCCTGAACCTTAATTACGTTAACTTCATTTGGTGAATACAATGACTGACTGAAATTATGACCCAAAAGCATGTATGAGTGGTTATCTAGAATCAGGTATCAAAGGGCAATGCTGAGGAAAACAGCTGTTTCCTCAGACAGCAAAGAGGACAGGAAGGACATGATTTTAATTCTCATGATTGAATTACATGTTCCGCTTACAAGTTTGATTATTTTGGAACAAGTCAAAGGGTGTCTTTTTGTACGCCACTACCTTCAAAGTTTGAAGTTTTACAGATCAAGTTATTCCCCAAAATCGACAATTAACTGCGGTCTCACTTATTAGATTTGAAAATTTGTATTTACAAAATGAGCACACTTAGCTGTTCAAAGGCTACAAGCTGCTCTGCTGGTCCCATTTGTATGATTTGGATCTGGCTTTGGCCAGTAAGAGGAGTTATGCCAGTATCATCTGGCACTGAGACCATTATCTGACTGGGAGAGCCCAGACCAGAATATTCAGCCAACGGACAGACGCAAGAGCTGCAGCTCTTAGCAGAACAAAATAAACAAATCTAGATATCAAATCTAATTCCAATGATGGACATAATAAGCGTTTGAACAGTCGTGTGTGTGTGTGTGTGTGTGTGTGTGTGTGTGTGTGTGTGTGTGTGTGTGTGTGTGTGTGTGTGTGTGTTAGGGTGGCCATTTCCTTCACATCAAAAAGGAGGACACTTTGCATACACAGGGACACGCAAGCAGATATTTGTTTGGTATGATCCGGTTTTAAATTGTAATGCTTTTCCACCA